CGTACATTTTGTCTGAGCGCGGCTGGGCGCACCATTATAATTCTGGTCACAAGGATGTCGCCAATGCGCGGTCCGGACCGCATACTCATTGGGAAATGCGATTCCAAGGTCTGTGCCCGGTCTGTGCCCGGATCGTTCCCCCATTGTAATTCTGGTCGCAAGGATGTCGCGAATGTGCGCTGCGGACTTCATACTCGTTGGGAAATGCGATTCCATGGTCTGTGCCCGGAGCGTTCCCCCATTGTAATTCTGGCTCGAAGGTGTTCCTGTGTCATCGCTCGGAGCGTAGTTACATTGTGTTTTGCAAGCTTTGGTTGCTAATCGCCTTATAGTTCTGGCTCGAAGGTGTTCCTGTGTCATCGTTTGGTGCGCAGTTACGTGGTGTTTTGCAAGCTTTGGTTGCTAATCGCCTTATAATTGCTACTGCAATGGTTTCCAACGTACTTTTTTCCAAGTTTTGCCGCTTTCATTTTTCTTGTAAATCTCTTTTAAAAAACGCTTCGAAATCGCAATTTTTGGAGCTTGGACGTCGAGATCCGGTTTTGGGAGGCTATTCTCTGTGCTTGCGGTGCGCAGTTACATGGTGTTTTGCAATCTTTGGTTGCTAATCGCCTTATAGTTCTGGCTCGAAGGTGTTCCTGTGTCATCGTTCGGTGCGTAGTTACATGGTGTTTTACACGCTTTGGTTGCTATTCGCCTTATAGTTCTGGCTCGAAGGTGTTCCTGTGTCATCGTTCAGTGCGTAGTTACGTGGTGTTTTGCAATCTTTTGTTGCTAATCGCCTTATAATTGCTGCTGCAATGGTTTCCACCATGTCTGGTGTAAACCATGTCTGGTGTAAACGGTGTCTGGTGTAAACGCTGTCTGGTGTAAACTGTCTATGGTGTAAACTTTTTCTGGTGTAAACCTTTGTTGGCTTTGTCTGGTGTAAACGACGTCTGGTGTAAACCGTGTCTGGTGTATACGGTGTCTGGTGTAAACGCTGTCTGGTGTAAACTGTCTCTGCTGTAAACTCTTTCTGGTGTAAACCTTTGTCGGTTTTGTCTGGTGTAAACCTCGTCTGCGGTAAGACCTTTTTGTCTGGTGTAAGACTCCACAAGGCACGAGATCCACGACCGAGAGTTGTTCGAAGTCGATCCTGTTCCGACTGGGTGTGCAACTATATCTGATAACCGACAAAACAACATGAGTTGAACTGTGGGTAATTTGTTTTGTTTTTCAAGTGTTGCATTTGTATGAGCATTGGTTGTCCTGATGCCAGGTTGGGACGTGCGATTTCGCACACTTCGGCGGCTCTTACTACCGGGACTAGCGTTTGAGCTCGACCGGCGCTGGATAAAAAAGAATCGACCGGGACTACCGTTTGGGCTCCGAAGTACAGTGCAACAGAATATACATTAATAGATTTGGTAATAACGTGATAATAGTATCATAATCATAATGTATATATATAGATATATATATATATATTATATATTGTGTCATCTCATCATCATCTCATTTTGTTTCATCTTAATGTTTTGAATCATCATATATCATCTCTTCATTTCTTTAGCGCTCATTCATCTTCTGTTACTTCGCTTTTCTTCCCTTCTATTTGTTCTCTTCCGCCTACTTGCTTTCGGGCCACCCTGTCGTCTAGTTGTGTCGAAACCTGTCAATCCCATTGGTGCATTGTTCCAGGAGCGTTTCATGCAGAACCTCTTCTGTTGTGCCCGCCACCTGCAAACCCCAGAGGATCCCAAGTGTGAACAGCTCCTTGGGTGCGAAACATACGAAACTTCGTCTCCGATGGCACCTCTTCGTGCGTTTTTAAGCCAAAGTAGGGAGACCCACGGTACGAACCCACCGGACCGCTCGGACGACGCACGGAGCTCCTCCGTGGAGCTCACGCTCGGGTACGCGGGACGCTCGGAGCTGAGAGACTCGGAGCCCGAAGCATTGGCCAGATATTTTAAGATACCTACGGTGATGCACAGACACACATATATGCACACAATTATATGTTGCAAGGTTTCCAGACGCAGATTTTGAAATGTGTGGGTTCATTCCATCATTCACTATATAAGACTGATACTCAAGATATGATATATGATCGGTTAGAGTTGGCTCTTCTCCGATCTCGTCATGCAAGGACAGGCTGCCGCGCCTATGATATGACTTGCCCTGGATCCAAGTTGCTCACTTCTGATGCTTGGTGTCGTTTGGTCGTGATCCTTTGGAACCACACGTGCAACACAATCCACATGCAACAACTGCGTGCATGTGGATTAACAAAAGAACCCTTAGAACACTGGTGCGACCATGATTTCTAGCTCAAGACTCTATGAATGTGCTCGCCAGTTGGACATATCCCAGCCTGACACATCTCCAATGGAGCACCCCCATCAGAATTCTTGCGTTTTGAAGTCCAGCCAGTTTTCTTGAGTTTCCTGGGACTGGGTCTTCAATGCTGTTGCATTTTTGTTGTGCGGGCGGTGAGAAGAAGAACTGGATACTTTTTGTGGGGTGTGCAACTCCGGTGATTTGTATGGGAGCTGGCTGTGCCAGAAGTGTGAGGGCGGGTTCCCTCAATGAGTGGTTCTGGCAAGGACATGGACTGCACCGTTTATCACTCGCGTGATCCTGGCACAATGATCCAGAACATGAAGCTTGACACGATGGGGGTGGTGGGCAGAAGAGCGTTTTTGGCGGTACAGGTGATGGACAGAGTCGAAAGTCTACAATCCAAGACACCACCATTGCAATTCATTTCATCCTTTTGATATTGGCAGCTGGATGTGGGCCCCTTTTTCATTGAGGCTAAGGCTCTCGTCCCTTTGCGCCCAATTGGGGTGCTTCTCTTCGGATTTGTTGACTCACCGTGGGTCACCCGTGGGTCGCCCTGGAGCTCACCGAAGACAATCAATCAGAAGCACTCCGACTCGTGGTGGAGGAAACCGGGCAGCGGAACAGCCGGGTGACTCTCACCCGTTTGAAGCCGTTGATGGAACGTGGTCTAAGACCATGCTTGTTGGAGAAATTAACCCCAGGGGGTGGAAGCTTGTGTATTCGAAACCTGGAGGTCTCACTATACTTGAACATACACCTCCTTGGCCTCCTTGGCTCTTCTGCATTGTAGTTGGTTTCAAACGGAAATAGCATCATCAATTATATATATATATATCGATCATCATTCTCATCCTCCTCCCCCTCCTCCTCCTCGTCATCCAATTTGGTTTGGTTTCGCGTGGCGTATGCATGGGATTTTGTCCATGGGGGAATCTCTATCTCTCTCTCTCTCTCTATCTCTTTTTCTCTCTCTGGAGTGTCCCAGTATCGAGAAAGCTTTGATAGGTGTGAACCCAACCTTTGCCTTGCAGCAGGGCCTGCAGTGCTTTTGGAAAGGGTCCCCACTTGCAAAGCTTTGGGTCTCTTACCATTCACTACGAGTGTTTGATCCCGTGTTTCTAACTGTTTTGTGTGTTTTTTTACTTGGACCTCATGTGTTGGACCTCTGCACGACAGATGCATTCGAGGAGACAAATCAGCTCCTCCCTTTTGTTTCTGATAGCTTTTTGTTACTACTAGTAAGGCACTTGTTACTAGTAGCGATGCACTTGTTACTAATAGCTTCTTGTTCCTATTCAAGTCAGGAGTTTGATGGCACAGCAGAAGCTCACAATCTTCATCGATGAGATCGTGGACTTGGGTGTCCTGTCGGTTTGGATGAGTGAATTCGTTGTCATGGTCCGACCGCCCAACGACCTCGTATTGATGATATATCACGACCTTGTTTATTCAGTTTCTGGCAGAAAAACGCGTTCGGTATAGAAGGGTTGGGTAGTGATCTAGAGGTTCTGAGAGGGAGGGAACAGGAACAGGAAGAGAGCAAGGGAACAAGACAAGGAGGCAGAGTATTGGTTCATAGGGCTTGCTCCATGACCCAGAACATGGAGACCACTGTATATAGGTGCTTGGAGACGGCAGTGGAATTCACTCACCTGGAGACCATCAAACACTGATAAGGCATGATGAGATGCTATTCACGTGCAAACGCATCCTCGGCTTTTGTGTATGGATGGCCTTTTAAGGAGATACACGGCGAGAACATGGTCCTAGTATGGTCCTCATACATATGTATATATGTATGATCCTAGCACTTTCAGAACATGGGGGTGTTGCTGGATCTAGATTTTGCCCTCCAAGAAAAAAACATTTCTGTTGACCATGCCCCCCACGAAGATTCACGAGAACGTCACGAGAGGTCTCGTGACCTGCCAGGTAGTCTTTTCGACGTGAGCTTGTATGGAACTTGGACCTGGATCCCTGACGATTCTTGCTGAACCGGCCTCGCGAGCGTGAGAGGCGGCGTGAGAGGCGGTCTTTTTTGGTGGGGTGGCCCCGGTGGTGACCGTGGTGTGACCGTTGTGTGGTCGTGTAAAAGACGAGAAAACCAGAACATCCGCATTTTGCCTGGTCGTTTTTGAGTCAATACCAGATTGGGCTGACGAAGGGTCACCCGGAAGAGGCAATTGGCCAAGGCCAAGGAAATACTGATGTGCAATCAAGAAAGAAATTTCGGAAGAGACTGTGAACAGTTTGAATACCATGTTTACAAGCTTGGAAGCGTCAACATGTTGATGAAACTGATCAAGCACAATGAAGGCCGCACAGCCTGGGCTGACATCAATACCTTTGCAAGAAGTACGCAACCATTCCCAAACGCTCCATGTATGGAAGATATGTCTACATTGTTCCCTCCAACAAGCTCCTCCAACAAGCTCCAACCACCCCAATGTAGGCAAACATTCCAGTCCCATGGAGTGTTTTGCATGGTTCAATTCCAATTCCTTTGGTGCTAAGACGTGGAATTCAAGAACTTAAGACATCACATCGCCGTCGAACGGTCGTCGGCGCAAAATGAGTCGTATGTAATGATATGTCCCTTTTCAAACTGGTACAGTAGTGGATTGATATGCTATGATGGTCTTTTAGTCATTCCCTTTTTTGGATCTTTGTTGCGATCGTTTGATGGTATCCTCGTTTTTCCTGACCGCGGTTGGGGTTCCCAATTTTGGTCCGTGTTCCCTCGCGGTGTTCCAGTCATGTCAACAAGGGTTTGCTCGTGTGTGGGTGCTTTTAAGGGGTCACCAAAAATGTGGTGAAATTGCAAAGGGACATTGTGAGGATTCGGTGCCTGCACATGTGAAAGGGGTTCAGCCCAGTCAGCATCGCACAATGGCAGGCGATCAGTGTCCTTACTTGCACAATGACAATCACTTTAGCTTTCATGTGCAGTTTTTTATGCAATTTTGCATGTTTTTGACTTTTTGTTCACGACCAATCACGCGGAAAGCTTGTTCCAAGTCTGTCCACATCCATGGACAGGTGAACCCTTTGTTTTTTTAGAAATAGATTTGTCAGTATTACCTTCGTGACAGTGAGTTGACATGATGCTTTGACTAGGATGTCATTAAGTTACTTCATCAGCCATCGTTTGGTCTCAGGAAATCTTCCAACGCTTTGATTGGCCTTTTGGCGAGTGCTTTCTTTTTCCAGCTGCCATGCTGGGACGGTGAAATTGATGAGCTGGTTTGGAACACCAGAATGGAGAGATCCATCAGTATACCAGAGTGGAAGGGGGGGGGAGAAGAGTCGGTGAATTTCAGATGTGTTTCTTGAAAAAGGGAGTGGTTCTAGGGACTCCATGAGTGGGTCCCAGTCTTTGAAAACTACTGTACCAGGACAAACACATTGGAATTGGGACAAATGATGTGATTGGTGTGTGATTTGTCTATCCCATATGTTTGGAGGAAGACCAGGACCTAGGAAGGCTAGAAGATTGAACACAGTAGAATACACCCATATGCCCGCACCTCATGTACTAGCCAGCAAGGACAAACATAATGAAGGAACCCCCTTGGAAGATACATCCTGGTTTCTTCCAGCTTCACCAACATGATGTTTTTGGAGCAAAGTTGGCAGGTAGTTCTTGCGAAAGAGGTTGTTCCCATCTCAACTCAAGCACTGTAAGTTTAAAGGTTAAACATAGTTAAACATATAGTTAAACATATATAGTCAAACACGTGTTTTTTTTAAATCGGTTTCTTTCGTTCCTCCATCCATTGGCTGGTTCGGTGTCGTTGTTGGATGATAGAACCCTGTCAGCAACGTGCCTTTACTCCTTAATGAAAAGGATGAACATTGGTTTCTTTGTCTAAATTAACCAACTCAAATTGGTACACTATATGGGTTTTGAATTGACCTTCTCTCTGGTGAAAGCTGAATCCTTGCTTGCTTGGTAGTTTTCTAAAGAAAAGAACTCATTGTTTCTATGTCATGTGGTGCAGAAGTTGGTGTATACCATTCTGAGGTATGTGGTTGCCACTTGAGTACCCCTCTGTGGTTTGGGACGGTCACCACCCAAATACAATCACCTCACATATTCTCTATCCAGGAGAAACACTGGAAAACACATTGTCCATTGAGAATGTCCTTTTCACACCCAAAGACCCAAAGTCATCCGACTTACTCTACTCCTATCTACTCTTCCACTTTCTCGAATGACATGGATTCTCTTCACGAATTGCGCCGTCCAAGGAACCGGATCGTTCCAAGTAACACGCACCGGCCCACGCACCGGATCCCATTTCGATCCGGATCGGTTTCGATCGAGGCCGGCGTCCAGCAAGTCCCTCTTCGAACCGGTGCCCGGCAAGGAGGGCACGGCCGTGTGGGTCTTTCGACGCCACGCGACCTCATAAGACGGACGGGAGCAGCCGAGGATGCCGACGAAACGGAAAACGAAGGAGAAAACGAGACCGTTTTTTGGCTCGCAGGTCTTGTGTGTTGAAGGTTGAAGCTCGATTTTTATGCTTGAAGCAGGTGTTGTGTGGTGTGGTGTTGGAGATAAAACTTGGACGATCCATGTGTTGGTTCGTAGGCCATGCATGGTCCGACATGAAGACATCCCACTGGCTATAGCTGGTAAAATTAAGGGGTCGAGTCTAGCCAGGTTCCACGGTGCACTCGAACCATTGAAGCCCACAAATGGGCCAGGTGAACTCGAACCACCAATTCAGAAACCTAGAGCAGGGAAACCTGGAGCTCTAGTGGAGTCCAGCGCTTTGTGGTGTTCACGCCGCATGGCCTTCACCACGTGGAGTGGAGCGCTCTCCGCTCCCGGACACTCCCGGACGGCCTGAGGCAAGTGCACACCCTCAGCGCGGCAGGCGATCCTGGAGAAGGTGAAGCGGATCATCGACACCGGCGCCGAGGTGGCTAGACCGGCGAGCAAGGGCTGCAGATCCTGGAAAGTCCCCATGTTTGGGTCTCCTGAAATGGTAAGAATTTAAGGATTTTGAACACATTGTTTCCCCATGTTTCCGCCAAAAGGTAATTGATTTGATGTGGTCGTATCGGTCAGAGGGCCCTGCAGGCCTTTTATGTTCTTTTCATGTCAATCCCAATGTTTGTTTGAACTCAAGGCAGGATACGGGGGTGTGGACAATTGGAAGAGCTTATTGATGAACACAAAATTGATCCTAGATTCTACATCAGAGCATGTACGCAAGGAGCCAAAAAGGGTCAAGGGCCATGCTGTTTCACCTTGTGCCGAGTCAGTGGCTCGGTTTACGATCTCCAAATAGCACGGAGCAATGTTCTTCCCAGACATTCGACAAAGAACCGGAAGACTTTCTCAGATCCAGTGCTCCCGGAACTGAGAGACGCCAGAGAGTCGCATCTCCAGGATTGACTACATGTTCATGTTGAGTGTTCCACTATGTTCCAATTTTGAGAAGTCAGGTGGATTTGCTTGGCGTTCCCACATCGGATGCCAAAGTTGGATGTCCCGGCGATCCCAATCCAGACTTAGGAGTGTAGCTCAAATAGGGAGGCCTCCCAACGACCCCAAGGAAGAAGGCAAAATAGATGAAGATCGACCAGTCGACCATCCCAAAAAATCCATTGGGCCAGGGGATCCCTATCAAAATCTACCAACAGCAAGCGCTCCAGCTTGCTCCCTGTCTGCCCTTCAAGCCACACTGAACAAGGTTGTCAACCGCTTTAGGACCGGTGATGGAGAACGGTCCCCAGAAACCGCCCCAATGGACCGGTTTCTGGGTCTCCAGAATCAGAACTGGGAGTTCGGTGGAGTGCCTTCCTTCGAAACTCCAGGAGATCCAAAGTGAAAACTTGGATCAACTGGTGGTGGCTCTACATACCTTTGTCTCCCGGACGAATGTGGGAAGAGGTGGGCCAAGGCTTGGACAGGGCCCCACGTGCGCAGCGGAGCGGGTCCCGTGATGCAGAACTGTGATGAAGGGGTCAGGTGTTTCGGTGCAGCTGCAGTTTGTGAGTCCCAAATTTCGCAGTCAGATGTCTGTGAGTCAAAACCTGGAGCCTGAAACTGTGGGAGGTTGACCTGGCAAGCGAGCGGCGAGGGACCTGATTTTTTTTTTGGTGGTCAATCAGGGTCCCCTGGTTATGACCCGCAGCCAGATGAGAGGCCTTGACTCACACTGGTATTTGGGAGCACCCCACAAAGGCTTCAGATTTGGATGATTCAGCGATTGTACGATCAACAGCAGTTCCGCAGTAGCTGCTTGATGGAGGAAGTTCCGGGCTCCCCATGCTCATATCCACTCAGTTACAATTCAATCGGCACCCTATCATAGACGTTTGGACTGGATCAAGGGATATGAAGGGATGGCATGTTGGGTTAGCTTCACATCAGGTTGGGAGGTGGTTCACCTTCAATTAGCTTGTGGCGTTTGTTGGTGAATCGTTTGTTGTCGCTATTACGGCCAGAGGGTGAATTGTGAGGTACAAAGGTCGGTATGTTCACTTCTTTCCTGTTCCACCCATGTTCCAGCCCTGAAGACGATTTCGAAAGAGGTTCCGTGATGTTCCGTGTGAATCGCATTTTTCATACTCCTCCTCTTCTGGGGGGCAGAGCAAATGATAGGACAGTATAGGACGTAACAGTTATATAGAGGAACCGTGGAGGAACTGAATGTGGTTCCCCATTGGTGTTCAAAGCACATCGCCTTGCTAGGGCCCCTTTTTGTGGGGCAGGTCGCGCAAGACTAGAATTCCGTCCCCGACTCGGGCATTCTGGGACCATCCACGTCAGATACCGCGGAGTTGCAGAGTCTTTGGATGTCAAGAAAACCTTCCAAGAGACTTTGAGAGACCATATCGGACCCTGTAGTGCTACATATGGGATGGGCTAGCGGAGTTCCTTCGAAGAGAAGGTGAAAACGATACTTCCCAGGATGTATGGACTGGCCATCAATATGACTTGAGTGGATGAATTTACAAGATCCTGAATTCCAAATGGACACAGCCATGCAGTCCTTGAGGTTTGCACGTGTCGTTCAATGGTGACCTTTTGGTTGCCGGACTGTGGTTCTTCGTGAGGTTGGGAACTTGGCGAATGGAAGCTACGGCTATGGACACTACACCTCCGAGTGGGATCATCTCTATCAGGACTGTTTTCCTTCGTCATCAACGGCTGGGCCGGGACAACAAAAACAGTGGCTTCGCATGATGGGGCTGTCAGAAAACAACAGTTCATAAAGGTCAGATATTGGAAATTGCCCAAGGGAGTTTCAGTTCTTGGGGAGTATTTTGAAGGAAGCAAATCTTGGCCGGGTAGCTGCTGGTACTGTAGCCCAGGCTGGAGGCCACCGACTAGCGACTAGTCAAGAGTTTCGTCAAGAACAGACCATAAGTATCCTCGACTTCGTTTCTTTGTCGAATGTTTCGTGTTTAGTTGGGTTTTGTCTAGACATTCACCTTGCTGTTGAGCATTGAGCATGTCGTGCATCCTTTGAAAGCTCCGCATCAGGACTTCCGTGCTGTCTCCAGTGTGCAGCGGGAGGGCTACCTCACCTATGCCGCTACCTTGGAGGTGTGGAGTCGCGACGCTTCACGGGACCGGAAGCGACCGATGTCGAAGCGACCGATGTCGCGACCGGTCGAAAAACGACGAAGGAGGAGGAGGAGTGAAAGGATTTGCATGGATTTACCTTGAGTTGGGAGATTAGATTTTAAGCATGTTCCACCTTTACTTGTTTTTTTGGAAGGGAGGGGTCCAGACCAGCAATTTAGACATTAGAGGAAGAGTGGGAAGACCGGCACAACTACTTTCCACTGGAGTGTTGGGGAGTCGTTCACTTATCACCCTTGACAGGTGATGGGATGTCCAGACAGCCACATGTCATCACTGTTCTGCCTTCAGAGGATCAGAGCTAATTGAGCCTAATTTGAGCCTCTAGCTGGGCCTTTGGGCGTCATGAAACGTGACTCCTTGAGGGTCAAGCAACTACAAGAATGCATCGCGTTCTTGTATGAACTATGGCCAACAGCATCAAACGGCTATTGGTGTATGGAAATGATGATCTATAGGACTTGGCATGGGGGTCAGGGGATCGATGTGGGAAGCCTCAGGCGGGGGCATTGAGACCCTTGTGTTCCGACTTGCATGCCGGAAGATCTCACAAAATGTCTCTTCAGCACCCGAAAACAAGTGGGGGTTGGAACAAAATCCCAGCAGATGGTTTCAAGGTAAACCCAACCGGAAATCCCAACGTGTATCTATAGACAAGAGTTTGGTCCTGTGCAAAACCTCTCTCAGGTTGGCAGGATTCTCACACCAATGGCCTTTGCCAGTCTTACAGAAAGATGTTACCATCAGGGCCAGTGCGGTGGTCCTGCTTCCACAAATGTGTGTGATTGTGTCAGTGTACGTTTTCTATATGTTGTTGTTCCAGGGCTAAACATCACGTTCCAGAAAACGGGGTTTCGTCCCCACGGTGGACAAACATCCACAGGGCCGGCCGAAGGTCGCCGGATGCGGGCGAGCGCGAGCCGCGCGTCGACCCGGCGAGGTGGTGGGGCGACAACAGGTGGGTTTGCCCACGACCTTCGCTGAGGATTACCATTGCATGCGGCAGGTGAGTGGCTTGGCCAGTGAACCATTCTGGGTGAGTCTGGGTGAAAAATGGTGAAACCATTCTGGGTGAACATTTCTCACATTGATTCTCTTGCAAAAAGCAAGTGGTCTCAAAAGTGGATCGTAAACACAAGTGGAATCACCCTATCAAGATGCGAAATCGTGAGACAACAAAAGGTATAGCGTTAGCCTTTAAAAGGGCCTGCAGCGTTCACCCCAGCCAAAACTTAAAGCCGGCGAAGCAGGGTGAAAGGCAGTGTCTTGCATGCGGCCACGGGCCAAGCATGGTCGTTTGGGCAAACCACAGCGGACCTGAAAAAGCAGAACATGCCGGGTGTTTTCATGACTTTCCGGAGCATTTAACGGTTTGGTTGAAAAGACTACTGACTACCTTTCGTCAGCAGGATCATGTTGCCTAGTCTTTTGTATGAGCTTCTGAACACAGCATGTTGTGTTGCGTAACATCGCTTCCTGTCTGTACTCTCCGGAAGGGTGGGTTAGGCCCGGCCAGTGGGTTCAGGCGCCCGCAGCGACCGGGCAGCTGAAGAGCTTTGAACGGCTCAGCTCGGTGTAGCTCGATGTTTATCGGTTGTTCCGCCATGTCTGACAGGTGTGTCGAGCAAACTCCAGCCACCAAGGTGGACATTCCATGGTGGGAAACCATTGGGTGAGGAGCTCATGAGCTCGTTGACATGAGCTTCAAACACGGTACCTGAAGCGGATGGTACCTGAGCACGGTCGTCCGGTACCCTGCTTCGCTTTATGCCTATATGCACAGGAGGGCAATCTTTCTATCTACAATTGGTGTTTTGGGTCGGAAGTTTGCTTTGAGAGGAAAGGGATATTGCATGGACGATTTTGCATATAATTATGTGTGATTTGTCCTAAGCTGTTGATGCAACCGATTTAGTCGGCATGAATCAATCGAACATCCCTGAGATTCCCTGAGGTTGCACTTTACGCGCTTAATGTGGACTTTGTGGGGTGTGAAAGTTTGGGCTTTTCCGACTCACATCCTAGTAACAAAATAGAATGCATACATTTCCGAGAATGTCCGCAGCTAGCAGAGATTGTTTAACTGTCCAGCCGATATACGCAAGTAGGTGCAGGAGACCTTACAATTGATTCAGGCTTTATTGTTTGATTTTTTTGTTTGGGAAGCCTTTGCTCGTGAGAGAAGGCATGCTTTGTGCCATGACGGAGTTACAGTGGCCAAACATGCCTGTGACCCAATGCAGTCCGGGCTGAACGAAGGACCGGATTATGTCATCAGAAGACTGATCACCATCATGTGAATTTACCAGACCATATATCACTATGAGAGTCATGGCTTTGCTGATTTCCTGCAGATCAGGCTGAAGCCTCTGAATCTGTTTGGCAGGGTTCGGTTGCAAGACTCGGTTGCACATGAAGAAGAGGGAGAGGATGCACACAAAATCAGCATATCTAAGATCCTCAACGACTTCAGTCCATTCAATCAGGTTTACAAAGTTGATCATACCGTCCCTCCAACAATCGTGGAAGTGGACGATGGCTCGCTGGAACACTGTTGACCTGTACATAAACATGTTGCACCATGATTGTTGGATGGTAGTTGCTACTTCAAAAAACATGTTGCACTAGATAATATGCATGTTCATGACAGTTTCAGAATTTCATGTCTTTGACAAAGTTATTGGTTGACTTATTTTGTCACGGCGTGACCCTGACCCATTTTTTTTTCTGTGGAAGCTGCCAAGACGATAATCCAATCTAAGATGTGTATAAGTCGTTTCTTGTTATCTACGATGTTTCTATTTGCATATGTATCCTGAATGAATCTAATGGACAAAGGGCTTCTCGATTCAATGACCTGACTTGGCCTCGGACCAGGCTGCTGCGTAGTCCTCAACGAGGTGACAATCTTCTCAGACACTCGTTGGTCGTGGTTGTTGTTTCCAGGAAGGTGAAATCTCTACAAACGCAGTCGTGTAGATGGGACAAGACCGTCTTTTGCAGCAGAACGATATTTAGGAACTTGACAGCGCACGCTTGTGCATCCTGCCCAAATGTCCGTCCTTGCTGGTGTTGGCTGCACGCCAGCATGTTTCGGTAGATGAAGCTGTCAGAAACAGCTCCTGGACTAAGCTGACCGCTACTTGGAAGCGCTCCTCGCTCTGGGGGCCACAGGTGTAAACCACTGGTTGAGACACGTCCCCAGTGTGGTGGGTCGGGGGTGTACTCTGAGGGGAAAGCTTGGTGTATGAGAAGGCTGGACTGCAGGCTTGCAGCACTACCCCTGCTTATCTGCCGAAAATGAGCTCGTGATCGATCCTGTGAGCCTAGGTTTTCTTGAGCAGCTGGCGTTTATCGCGCAGCACATTCAGACCGACACTTGGCTCAAAAGAACGACGGGGGAAGGTCGACTTTCAAGAAGAAATGGGACGCACAACCATGGTCTAGGTGTATCGAATTGTATCGAGTTGTTGTTGTTGGCTTATAAGGCCTAAGCTGCTTGTTGGCGACGTGATGCTGCGTGCACCATAAAGCAACTAGCAAGGAGGACCTATTCCGATGGCATTGTTGTAGAACACGATAGTTGACATCGAAAAAGAACCGTCAGACACTGTCAGACACCTACTAGTAGAGGAAAATCAAGAGCAAGGTTCCCGTGCACTACCGTTTCACAGGATGCATTCTTTGTGGTATTTTGTTTTTTGGTTTATCCCCGTATACATGCAAAATGGTTGCCGATGTTGCATTAATTTGCATGTGTTTGTGGACGTTGCGCGCGCAATGATCATCATGTCCGGTTTTTTCAGGACGAAATGATTTCCAATAGCAAAGGGCATCGCTACTAGGAGCAAGTGCCTTACTAGTAGTAACAAGAAGCTACTAGGAACAAGTGCATCGCTAGTAGTAACAAGTGCCTTACTACTAGTAACACGTTGCTTTCCTTTTGGCTCGCGCACGGCCCACGAGGATGTCCCAGACGACCTGACGGAGCGGACGTTCAGCGATCAGACCATCAAGGTGCGGTTCTGGGATTTGGGAACCCAGAACTGAAAGAGGTTGCATGGAGGGCATGATGGTTTACATGTTTGCTTGAGGGTGTTCATGGCATTTGTTCAGAAGGTCCAGTTCAATTTGTCCAAATAATGTTCAACGAGTCTGCAATAATATAGCAAAGAATTTGCACGAAACCAGTGTTGTTCCGTGAAATGGGTCACATGAAACATCTCCAAGTGACAAAATTGAAAAATGTCATCAGAACAAAACCGTGAGAACGAAACCGTGGGATTGAAAAGGTTTTCCATTGAACTCCACAAAACAGCACATCGTGATCGTGTTGATGGATTTTGGTGAATTCAAACGAACAGTTTGCGCAAGCGGCAGGTGCTTTTGAAGTCAGGCTCGGACGGGTTGGGTTTCGATTGGAGATTTGAACATGCTGAGACTCCCCAGCACTCAACATATTGTTCCTTCAGTATTTTGTGCAACGTGTTCATTCTGAAATACAACAAATACATTTGCCATGGTTGGCAAGGTGGGGACTTCCTGTGCAGTGTGGTTGTTGCAAAACAGTTCTTGGACTCCAAGGCTCCAAGAATTGTGGTGTGGCATGACGATTTTTGTAAAGACCATGGCCAAGCATTATCATTATCATCATACTGCAAAACGGATGGAGTTAGGGTCCTATTCGGTTCCTCCATGTTCCTCCAAGGATGTTTTTGAAGAGTGCCAGTTCTACAATGTGTGAGTCAGGTTAGTGTTGATGTATGTTCTATATACACAGGGTGTCGTGAAAACACCACTGACACGCCTGTTGCATCAGGAAAAGGGGTTTTGCACACTCCAGGTGTGCATCCTTATGCTTTGACAAAAGCATGTCAAAGCCCTTCTTTACATGTGGGAGCATAGCCTACACCTACACTTTACCTACTGTACTAAGGACCACCAAGCGCATGCAGCCAGTCTAGGAGTCTAGGAGTCCATGGATCATGAGGTTGTTGCTAATTGGTTTCTCCGGGTAGTCACTTGTAATATCTTGTAATAATCTTGTTGTCCACAGTTCCCAAAAAAACGTGTTTTTTAAATCTCGACATGTCTCGTTCAACTCCACGCGACGGAACATTAGGTAGATTCTTGTTTTGCAGTGGCGCCGCTCAGCCTCTCCTTTCATCATCATGCAACGACCTTGCACAAAACCGGACCGCTGCCCGACCCATCGACATGTCATAAGCCGCTGCCCGACCATCTTCGACCTTTTCCAGGCAAGTACTTTGACCGGCTCTTGGAAGTGGGCGGCCCCGGCTATGACGAGGGCTTCAGCCGAAGTCCCAACTCTGAGGCAGACAACAGCGTGCTGTGGAGAGTGCTGCAGCCACTGGGCGTGCTGAAACGGAGAGTGCCGGCAAAATCACCGGCAAAATTGTTGTTTTTTTTTTGTGTGTGTGTGTGTTTGTTTTTTCCGATGTCAGGAGCGCAATCCAAAATGGCAAAACATGTTCGGAAGAGAGGCCAGCTGAAGATGAGCCTACCATGCAGTATTTTTTGGTGTTTATGCATATTATGTTTAGTAGAAGTTTTAATATGTTTCATACACACCCATGGCATGGCATGGATGAAACATGACACGCTGTTGTCGACTGATGCACGCAATTTGCGTTCGCATGCTGAGACGCCCAGACCGGCTCATGAGATGGACGTGTTCTGGGCGCAAAATGCTCTTCTTTCAATCAGCTTGCTCCCTGTGGTGTTGGGTCTTTCACTAAAACCAACCAACCAATTCTGGGAAGGATTGTCAATTGTTGTTTTGGAGCATTTTGGAGGGTTTGGGCTTCATATGGGGAACAGTTGCTAGTGACAAATCTGCGGGGGATCGAGATCGGGTTCCAGTTGACGTGTTGACGTGGAGAACCTGGTGGCCCAAATCAAAACACCATCTCGGCCCACAACATTTGAGTATGGTGGCACACATGTATATACAACTTAATGTGTTAATGAACCAATTCGTTGGAAAGGAATGTGCTTAGGGGTCCATCAAGGATTCTGCCCATTTTGCAGATTCACATGTGCCTGAAATGATGCAAAATACATCAACAGCCTGGGTGGCAAGGAATGGGTCATGGCCTGTGTTATTTTTTGGGTTTGACATACTTGCTGGCTACTAAGGACAGTCTATGGAAGCAACCACCTCGATGCTGTGCTTCATGGAGCCCCTTGACCGGTCAACACGGGCCGAGGCATACCACGAACGCCGTTCTTCCAAAAGCGACCACCCTGGAAATGGTTTGAGCACGTAAGAAAACGACACCTACTATGTAGCGGCTGAATGTCTCCAAATCAGGAGGCTTGTTGGTGGACAGGTTTCAACATGTTTCAACTGACTGGAGCGTTCCATGATTCAATCCCACAGTAAAGCGTTCAATTCCACACCGGGATGGCCAACACCTGTTGCAACCAGATATTGATTACTTTAAAGGTCAAACTGGTATACAAGAGCGCCAATTCAAGATCTACTTCTGCACATTCAGATGATTTGTGTGAGGCGGCCGGCGATCAATCCAAGTCAGTTATGTTTGTTCTGAGAAAACAACAGCTTCCAAATTAATAAAAGATGTTGATCTCTTTCTCAACTCTTACTTTGGCGAAGGACTGCTTTCTCACGTGTGAAGATGGAAGGACCAGCTCGAGTCTATAAAGGTTGACCAGCTCGAGTCTATCAAGGTTATGTGTTTTTTTAACACAATGTATGCAGTTTCCCACATTCCTTGCGCTTGCAAGCTGACCAACTATTTGCTCACACCAGACTTCAAAGTGAAGCTCCCCTATGATGCATGCCGTGTCTTTCCGACAATTTCAGCTCTACCGGGCTCTACCAGTTGGGGCTTCCCCTGACCTGATGTGGTCCTTCCAGGTGCTTCCCGGCTCGTTCCGGCGCTCTCTTCGGACGCCGCGACGCGTGTGCGACACGAGGTGTGCCACAACACCGGCGCCTCGGCCTCGGTGAGCCAAGTGGCCTTCGACGACGCCGAAGTGCGCCGAAGAAGTTGCATGGCGCCTGAGACCGCAGAGACGAGACGAACAGAAACGACGCGAGGGACGACGAAGGACGCGAATGCGAAGGGAATGCGACCGAGACGAGGAGGAGGAGGAGGAGGAGTCTTTAAGAGGTGGGGCCGGTGGTGTGGGGTGGGGATAAGGTGGGGAAGGTGGGAAGAATGTGGGAGGTGAGGCTGGTGAGAGGGTGTGGAAGTATGTTGGAGTTGTCCAAGGTAGGGGTTGTGGGAGACTGATGGTTCGGTTCACTTGTGAGCACATGGCTATCGGCTATCGGAATTAACCACAGTTTTATTCATCACAAAAGGGTCCCGTCGTGTCCCAGATTGATATCTCTGTCGTGCTGCAGGAGACGCCGAGTCAGTCGCGACAGACAACCAGGCCTATACTTGAACGGCGCAAAAAAAGTCAGGGGTTTGCGATGTTCATTCCAAGCTGGTTTTTAAAGTGAAGTGAACCAAGGAAGCTCACTCATTCTTGCAATTGCAGTGATCCTCGAGCTTAATTAGCTGTGTTCAACTGTATTAAAGTCGTCGGAGACCTCCCAAAGACCCTTTTGAAGAAAGAAGATAGTCTGCCTGTTACAATACACGCCCAGATGATACAGACACTTACAAGCACGGATCTATGTAAGGGTTGTCACAGATTGTTCACCGTTTTGCCCCCTTCCTTCAGTCAGATGGAAATGACATGAAACGACTCTTCAGTCTCTTCAGTTTCCCTTGATCTGGGAAGTTGAAGCCGTAAAGCGGTGAAATTCGCCATGCCCGGCGATCGCCCAGGATATCGCCATGTGGGGCAATGCTGTGAGACATATGGACGCCTGTTGCTTCAAGTGGTGATTTGCTTTTCAATCTTCGCCCAAGGGTCGTTACATGGTTCTTCTGGTGTAATTTCTTGAGCCGTTAGGGCCCTTCCCTCCCAGCCTCGAACGAGGAGACCTGTTGAGTCGCAGGAGACCTGCATACTTACTGGTACCATTGGTCGTTGGATGGGCACTTGGTGTTCCACGAGTCATGTCCAACGGACCAGACCTGCTTCGCTGGGTATTGAACCTGAAAACAGAGTCCAGAACACCCATCATTGAACAGAGAAATAGAGATATTAAACCTGATAAGTTGGGAACAGTGGAAGTTGTTGTTTTGGGACACAGCTGTTGGACACAAGTGCAGAAGTCACCAAGGCTGCAAGAAACAAGCACACCACAAACAGACCACTGCTACATGATTATCCTCCAGCTCCTTCACTTGGAGCTTGATGTTTGGACTATTAAATGTCATTCACAGAGGATTTTGACCGCGGGGTGCTATTTGTTTGGTCATTTTCTAAGCATCAATCTTTGAGATTGCAAGAGGGAAGTGACCTAGATTCGAGCTAGGAGGTGGAAGCAGGGGTATTTGTCACTGCCCTACGTCCTTGGTCCGTTCGCCATTGTGAGTGAATTCGG